CTTCATGGCCCATGTGCAGAAGTCGGAATTTTGTGGAAGAGCCACTCTCAAGGAGCCAAAGAGCCGCCTGTGGCTCGCAAGCCGCAGTTTGCCGACCACTGGGTTAGGGCAAGATGTGGTACTCTGGCCACTCTATACACTGTAGTCTGGCAAGTTCTTTCAAACAGAAAACTAGGGTGGTCACAGGGCTCACCTTATTTGTTTTCCTTCTTAAAAATCCTTTTCAGGGATCACAATCCTGCACTGAATGTTACCCATTGTCTAAAGCCAGTTGTTTCATGTAACTTATCCAGATTTCTAGTTTTGTATGGTAAAAGGGAGAGTTCTATACACTATTATAAGTCAAAGTATGAATTTTAAATTCAGGATTTCTTTTTTCGTTTCAACCACTTAAGTTTTTAATTTCCAAATATAAAAATAAAATGAAGTCAGCTTTGGGCTAGAATTAATAATTTGGGTTCAGGTTTCACGCCTACTTCTAACTTGCTGCATGAATATTGGTAAATCCCATTTCTTCTTTGACTTTTACAGCCAAATTAAATTGAATATAACCCTATTCTCACTAGTTCTCAGGCATTCCATAGCAAGCAAATAGAAATAAAAAACCACACTAAATAAGGATGAGGTTATAAAAGCTGACACTTCCAAAACCTCTTTGGTCCATCTTCCAATTCATACTTTTTTGTAAAGTATAAAGGGGCCTGAAATGAAAGTATGGTAAGACTGATGCTGTTTCATTGCCTTTCCTCCTACTGAGTGCCAGGAACTGTGTAAGACTTACGTGAATTAACTCACCAAATCCTCATCACTGTCCAATGGGATAGGTAATGTTATTTGACCCCATTTCTCACGTGAAAATGAGACACAGAGATTAAGCAACTTGCAGAGGGTCATATAGCTAAGTGGCAGAGGCAGAATTGGAATTGATTTGAACCCAAGCTGTGTGACTCAGGAGCCACGCTCTTAACCACTGTGTGACTATTTGAAAACTTGAAATGCATCAATTGCTGCTGATGGAGAATCATTGTTTGTAACTGTAAATTCATCCTCAGAATCCCTTCAACAAACCCTGTTTGTTTAGTCAGCCTGATTTCCATGAGGAAGCAGAAAGATTGGGCTATAGTTGGAATACGTGATTCCTGAGAAAAACACACCATCAGTATTGCAGGAAATGATGGAAGATGATATACAGCAAAAACTACCTGGGAAATAGGATCTGAGGGGAGTCCAAAGGGTCCAGTGGGGGGGGGGTCACTGGCGTTTACTGAATTTCTCCTGACTGGCAACTGTTTTGATATTAATAATTTCTATTCTTTTTCTCCTAATTTTCAGACACATTTAATCAAGTCAAGCACCAAAATGCTACCACTCTTGCCTAGAGAGAGAAAGGCTACTCAAAGAACTCCACCTGCAGGCGTTCGGCAGACCAGCATTGCTTCTTTCTTCACCTTGCAGTCGGGTACGGTGACCTGCCTGGGAGCACCCAGGGAGCAAAAAGGAGTGCATTCATTTTTTCATGCTGGAACATTTATAAGTGATACCAGTGCATAGCTCACCTATTAGAAGAGGTTATAAAACAAAATCGCCTTCTGAAAAGCAATATATACATGCTTTTAAAAACATATTTTCTGGTTCTGTTTTGCTCAGTCTAATATTAAGTATTTGTATTCTCTGTCAGAGCAGTGAGGACGGGTATACTTGGGAGTTGAGGGTATATAGGGGAGCTGACCTTTAGTTAGGGGTATGTCTTGGATTGGCCACAAGTAGTCTGCATGATTAATTGATAATTGATATTTTTGTATGAAGCGTCTCAAATTAGCCAAGGTTCAACAATGTTTTTTTCTTAGAAAGGTTTGCATAAAGTTGGCTTGTGTCTCAACATCCTTTGACGGTTCTTTGCCTGCATGTCCCACTTCAGGGGACCAGCTGACTCAGAGCAGGCTGGGACTTACCGAGCAAGGTTCCTGCCAGGTGAAAGGAGAGCTCTAACTCTTGGTGCGGTACCCAGGATTGCTTTGCATAAATCTTCAAAATGCACTCTCCGTACCCCAAACAAAAACTTAAGCTCTTTTGCTTTAACAAGGACAGGCTTTTTTCCCCCCTTTTTTTTCTTTCCCCCAAAACACTTCCCATTTCAAATTGTAAAATTCTGGTATATTGTTTATATAGAATTTTTAGGCAAAATAGACAAATCTTTCACAAAACAATTTCTGCAGTGTGATAAACTTCACATATGAAAACTCAGCTGGAAAAGTGGTCTGATTATGTCATGTTTGACTTTATTATGGAGCTCATGGGGAGCATCTATATATTTGAGTAGGGGGATATATAAGCTTTGTGTTTTATTTTTTATTTATTTTTATATTTTTATTGATTTTTTACAGAGAGAAAGGGAGAGATTGAAAGCTGGAAGCTCAGCCACAAGGGATGTGAAGAGTCTAAGACCCCTGCACAAGGTGTTATAATAGCCCAGCTAAATCCTGCTCAGGGCAGAGTTTTCCTGCAGAATAATATGTGTTCATGTCTGTTTCACTAGGAAAGAAAAATGGTGATCAGAGGAGTGTTTCATCATATATAGAAAGTCAGACCAACAGAGAGTCTAAGAAAGATGCAACCCAGCTAGACCATCTGACCCAGGGCTTGGGTGATGATTGCGTGGCACCCCCTTTAGCCTCTTCAACCCCTACAGACATCCAGGAAGCTGGACTTTCTCCTCAGTCCCTCCAGGCTTCTGGCCACCACAGACTGGGAACCCCATTCTTGACTGTGCTGTCTTTGTTCCAGCCTGAGACTAACTTAGTCTGTGCTGGAGAGAATCAAGACTCACTGGCTTGTTCCTTCACCCAGGACGTGGAAAGTTCTTGCTTGCTCGACCAGAAGGAGGGAGAGAAGGATTCTTCCTGGAAAAGGGAATGGCTTCATGGAATCTAAGAAAAAGAACCGTCAGGGTATGGAGAGATGCAGTAAACCACCTGGGGGCAAGGGCCTACAGCCCTGGGACAAGCCTAAATTGGAAAAGGTGTCTGCCCAAGAAAACAGGCAGGCTCCTGTCCTCTTTCAAACTTACAGGGAGTCCTGGAGTGGAGAAAACACAGAGGCAGTGAAACAAAGGTCTTGTCCTGTTCCTGTGGTCTCCTGGGACAGTGAGAAGGATGACAGGGACTCCTGGAGTCAGCTTTTCACTGAGGATTCTCAGGGCCAGCGGGTCATTGCTCACAACTCCAGAGTTCCTTTCCGAGAGGTAACCAACAGTTGGAGTCAGGGTTTAGGGCAGTTTCCTAGCAGCCCTGGGGCTCAGTGCCAGGATAGGCTCACTCAGTTAAACCAGCCTGATTTGCTCTTTACCCAGGACTCTGAAGGTAACCAAGTTATCAGACACCAAGTCTAAATATCTTTGAGGGTTTGGTTTTAAAAATACTTGGGGAGGTATGGAATGAAGCTATTGTTGTTGAACATTTTGTGTAAATAAAGCCGGTGGTGATACTTGTTGAGACAGTATGGTTGGCATCATTCCTTTCCCTGAAGAACAGGTGGCTAGTAAATTCCTTGTATGAATTCAGTGAGCACTGAGGAGGCAAGGGAGGTATTCATCTCTCCACTAAAGGGCCTATTACTCAAGCAACTCTTTGCTCTTTCAGATGCCTAACTGGGACATTGCTGCTGCTGCTGCTTTTTTTTTTTAATATATATTTTATTGATTTTTTACAGAGAGGAAGAGAGAGGGATAGAGAGTTAGAAACATCGATGAGAGAGACGCATCAATCAGCTGCTTCCTGCACACCTCCTATTGGGGATGTGTCCACAACCAAGGTACATGCACTTGACCGAAATCGAACCTGGGACCTTTCAGTCTGCAGGCCAATGCTCTATCCATTGAGCCAAACCGGTTAGGGCTGGGACATTGCTTCTTAGAGATGTGTATACTTTTAATCTCTGGTTGTAATCATACTTACTCAACCTAAGATTGGGACCACTAATTCCTAACACTTTTGAGTGGTAAACAGGAGCAGGGGGATAGAGATAGGTAGAAGGTAGAATTGTAGCAGTATTATTTGTTGTTATTTTATTCTTGTGGTGACTTTACAGCATTTTAAAGTTATAGTCTCTGTTTAAACATCTCTTCCTTAAAATTCCTGAGCTATATAGCAATCTAGATGTGAATGTAACACTCCTCTATTACAAAGTGGGTGAGAACTCCCTTTGTAAAACTGAGTCCAAATAAATGACTGTTTACCAAGCGGCTCTTGTGGTAATTAAAACATTACCAGTTTTATTTTTGAAAAAGCAACCTTTTAAAAAAATATATTATTTTTATTGATTTCAGAGAGGAAGGGAGAGAGAGATAGAAACATCAATGATGAGAGAGAATCATTGATTGGCTGCCTCCTACACACCCCCTACTGGGCAGTGAGGCCGAAATCTCAGCATGTAACCTTGGCCAGAATCGAACCTGGGACCCTTCAGTCCGCAGGCTGAAGCTCTATCCACTGAGCCAAACCAGTTAGGGCGAAAAGCAACTTTTTAATATTAGATGCTGTCACTGCAGTAGGTCCGATCTGAACAGGAGTCTAATTTGACCTTTGTTCTATCCAAGACTTTATCCATCAGGTAGCAGTTTTCTGTGATGCAGGTGTAGTACCTAAGAGGCTCCTAGGGGGCAAGCTTGCAAGTTATAAGATGGAACCACTTTAAGAGCTTAGGACAAAATCTCTCCATTTTTTTTTTTTTTTAATAAAAGGCAGGACTTTAAAAGGAAAAGGGGTACGTCAGGAGCCTATTATGAAAGTTCATATACTACAAAATTAACAGGAATCCTATACCCATTGGGTATATCAGGTGATTGTAACTCAGAGATGGACACAGCAAATGCAGTATCTTGCCAAATCCTTTAATGTCAGGTAGTACTTCAACCCAAACACACACGGGATACATACTGCAGAGAAAGGGACCTGAGGGCATCTGAGTCATGCATGGTGTGGATACAAACCTTGGCCCAATGCAAAGAAGCAGTCAAGGGCCTCAAAGAAAGATGGTATTCTCTTTCCCCTCCCCATTTCTGTTTCCTACTGGGCTTGAACTAAAGTCCATGGAAGAGCAGGAGTTCAGTCAGTGGGGCCTTGGAGGGTATATTTGGTTGTACAGTATTACAAAATATATTTAAGAAAAAAATAGCCCAGGCCTCCCAGAAGCAGCCCAAATGTCAGCTGGTCCAGAGGGCCGACCTCTACATCTAGGTGTTAGACATGGGAAGAGGGTGATTGCTGGGCATTGGTGTTGGTTTGTGATGGAGCAGCATAAGATTTTTCCTGCCCTGTGAACATGTACATAAACACTGATAGCTCTCTCTGCTGCAAGAAAGCTGCTAAGAGTAAGTGACAGCTGGGCACAAAGTGTCCGGTAAGACCAGTTATAGGGTCTTATGCAGTGAAGTAAGTCATTCAGGACCTATTTTCACACAGGGGCAAGGAAAAACCAGAAACTTCTAGCTCAGCCTTTAGACCGAAACATTCCAATCTATACATTTACCTGTAACAAGTCTCTCAGCTCACAACAGGCCTTAGCTTCTGCTAAGGTTTGAAGTATGGGAAACATATAATCCAGCTCTTTCAGTCCAAGCTCTAGCTTTCGGCAAGACCGTTGCAGAAAACTTCTGATGGAGAGACAGAAACATTTGCGGTGAGGAAGGCAGCTACTGAAGGAACTCCAGGAGCAGGAGACTGAGTGTGCAGAGCTGAGTGCTGTCAGTTTCCTTTTCTACTGAAATCTTCTTCCTTCAGAGCAAACTTCCTTCTTAGGACCTCAGAGATAAGGACAGCAGGGTCCTCCTCCTTCAGTAAACTCCGGTTCCTAGAGACATAATAATAGCATAATTATTAATAATTTAATAATTTGAGTACTTGCTCTGTCTTGGGCAGTGTTCCATGTCTTTGAATACGATCTCATTTAATTCTCAACAATTTTACGAGGTTAGGTGCTATTACAATCTCTTTTACAAATGAGGAAACTGAAGCACAGAAAAGTTATACAATTTCCCCAAAGCTACTCAGTCAGTCAGTGGTGAATCCAGAGTCCAAAAGCAAGCTAGCAGATTGTAAATCTCATTTCTTAACTAGAATGCTTTACTATTTCCTGAGATGGCTATAAAATGTGGACAAAGGACCATCAACTAGTTAGAATTGGCTGTGATGGCCAAGCTTCTGCTCCCACCTTTGGTGCTATATTTTCTTAGTAACATTTCCCCAGATCAGCAGATGAAGTGACATATCTCTTGTCCATTTTGACCTTTATTAGTTCCAGGGAAATGGTGTTCAAAAAGTTTTCTACTATTCTGTCTCCCCATCAAGGGGTCTGTGAGCTTTTTAAAATGAGATCTAGAATTTATAGTAAAATGTTCACATAAGGGACCAGTGGGAACAAAACCCACTCCAAATTGGCGTAGGTTCAAATGACCTGACACATCATAAAAGTATGTCCTAGATATCTGGAAAATAGTTGCTTGAAATCCCAATGGACTTATATCCATATCCATATATCCTCATGAAGTTTTGCTAGATATAAGGGTCAAGATTCATTATTAAACCTTGAAAGCAAAAACAAGAGTAATTGCCTTCAGTCTGTCACATTTCTGCCCCTTTGTTAGTGGGGCTACTTTCCCACTCTTTGTCATTAACCCATCTCCTCCAATGAACAAGGGACAAAAGATCCCAGGACACAATTGGGAAGAGGGGCTTGGATCTAATATGGGGCAAGAAGCAAGTAAAAAAGTTTGGGAGTCAATGACCAGAAGAGAAGGACTCAGGGCAGCTCCAGAGTAGCAGCTGAATTTGGGAATGCAGGAGACCGAAGAACTGTGGGTATGACCAAGACCAACCTGGCTAGGGCCAGAGAAAGAAGGTGAAAGTGACTTCCCTAAAGGATGCACTACCAGGAAACAATGAGGGAATCACAGCCTTGTCGGGTTTTCAGACAGAAATGGCCAGACACACAAAGGGGTCCTTGCACAAGGTGAGTAACCTTCCTTTCAACAGGAACTTGGGGGAGAGCCCTCTTCTCTCACAAGAGCTTTTAATCTACATTAACAAATACAGCTGCACATCCTGGCCTTCGAAGTCTGGATGTCAAACTTAAATGTTTTAAAGCCCAGAAACCTGCAAATAAGCTCCTTTGGTGTGTCCCATGCAGGTGCTCAGACCCCACTGAACACTGCAAGGTGGTCACCCCTCCAATATGAGCATTCTGATAGGCAGCCAGGTTTAGAAACTTCTCAAAAAATTCTTGTTCTCAAGTCTCTGAAATTGCAGGGTTAGTTTGCATAACACCACTATTTCAAAGCAGAAACTCCCAACCTGATGAAATTCTTCCACCAAAGAAGTCTACCAATTTGAGATACTAAAGTAATTATTAGGCAACCCAACTTTGAAGGGTGGGACATGGGGACACTTATTAGCAGTATGGTAATGGTAAAGTCCCTGGGACAGAAGTGGTATTAGATGAACCCTGTAAAATTCCACTAGTCTAACATTTGGTTGGGTTAGATCACCCCAACAAATGTAAAGTGTTACTCCTCAAACTGGGGCCCCAGGCATTAGCAAGCAGGTGGCAAGGTTTGTGAATGAAGTTAACACATGGCAACTACTGAGGACTTGCTATGTAAGTACCCTTTATTAGATCATTGGCCACAGGTAACTAAAATAGTAAATAGATCACCAGAGCTCATTATCAAATACTTACAGATCTTGACTCTGTTTCATCCGGTGAAAGTCCTTCAGGATCCCCATCATATCTGCAAAGCTGCTGGCCTTGGACAGAGAGACACAGTCATCCTCTTCAGATGAGCTGCAGGTAGCTTTGTGTTCCGGTTTGCAACATTCAGGGCTGGCAGAACAAAGCAGGGGGACTGATGGAAGCTCGGGGACCTCTACCTCGGTCTCCTCAGTGATGTCACTAATGACAAAGGAAGTTGTAGAGTGGAATGAGGATCCAAAACAAGGTAAGGGAGAAGAGACATTTGAACTTCCTGGAGATAAGAAATCTGGCGTTAATGAAGCCGAAGCTGAAAGAGAAAACAATAGGCATGGATGGACATTGGGGCTAGAGTACAGCAGTAATATCTTCTGCTCACAAGCACTGCCTACCATTCATTCATTTCCTGGGCTGATATCCCAAAAGAGCCCAGGGTGGTTTCTGTAAGCCGGAGGAAGGTTCCTCCACTATGCTTCCCTCTCAGGATTTCAAGATGTAGAAGCAGGGCTCCTCCATGTTCCAGGAGAGCACAGCACCTCCCCCCTCACCCCATAAAGACCTTGGCTCCTAAAAGCTCCCATTCCGCAGTGAGCTCTGGAGTAACAGCCTGTTTGGACTGAAACAACGACAGGACCAAGGCCGGAATTTGTTTATTTCTCTAACTGGGCTAGTGCTTTTGACTACCCTCTTTAAATGCTGTCCGTGGCTAGAAGAAGCATTCTGTAGCAATAGAATGGTGACCATCCTCCTAGTTCCCCAAATTTTAACGAATTTCCTCAATTTTTAAGAAACACTCTTGTTTTTCATAAACTACTTTAGCTTGTCTCTTAGCTGCCAATAAATGCAATTCCTCTATAAAAAACAACAAACGATTTCAAAAAGAACACTAATTTTCATGTTCTACCACCTGGTAAGCTTTAGGAACTGACTGAGCTCAACTAGGAGGGGGGGGGAAAAAAAAGGAATATGGGGATGAATAAACCCTGAGCTGCTTGGGAGAGACACCTATTGGTATTTCATGCCACCAGTAAAGGCAGACTCCCATCCTTTTCCATTGTTTTGCCTAAGCTGCAGACAGAAAAGTGGAGGGATGGAGAGGTGGTCTCTGGTAGACAGGACAAGGGAAGAGAAGACAGGTGCTCAAAGGGGATGCTTATTTCTTATATGGAAAAGGAAAGCTGCTGAGGGCTCATGGAAGACACGATCTTAGAGACACTTGGCAGAGGGTGTTGGCTTTGTGGCCACGGGAGAGAACCTGCTTGGGGTCACAGGCTAAGTGAAGATCTTGTTCCTGACCAAGCTAGTCAAGCTCAAAATAACTGACAAAAACCATCCAAGAAGTACTATAGACTAACCAGGCCTCAGAGCAACCGAGTCCTGGGTCCAAGTCCACCTGAACCAGGGACCCTCATTTTCTTTACCACTATCCTGTCTGAGAGCCAGGGGAAAAGGAACAGCCTGCTATATTCTGGCCCTGACTCAGAGCCTCCCACCTGTATCCGCTGCCACTATCTTAGCAATCTGGCTGCGCAGGTGGCTCAGCTCATCCTGCAGCTCTGTGGTGCGGCTCAGGGCTGGCAGGGCTGGCTTCTTCAAGGCCAGGAGCCTCTCCTCGGGCCCACGCAGGTTGGGCACTGAGGCATTGCGCTGCATGACAATCAGAGGGCTGGGCTTCCAAGTGTGCCTCAGGGGGCGTGTATCACTCCTGGACCAGGGAAAGACGGGTATATCAGAGTCAGCTGGCCACTCGCCCCTTCTAAAATTCCTTCACCCACCCCAGTGGTTCTCAACCTTCCTAATGCCCCGACCCTTTAATACAGTTCCTCATGTTGTGGTGACACCCAACCATAAAATTATTTTCGTGGCTACTTCATAACTGTAATTTTGCTACTGTTATGAATCGTAATGTAAATATCTGATATGCAGGATGTATTTTCATTGTTACAAATTGAACATAATTAAAGCATAGTGATTAATCACAAAAACAATATGTAATTATATATGTGTTTTCCGATGGTCTTAGGCGACCCCTGTGAAAGGGTCGTTCGACCCCCAAAGGGGTCGCGACCCACAGGTTGAGAACCGCTGACCCACCCCTACAAGATTAACAGCCAGGTTTTGCTTCCATTCTGAGCCCAGAGATCTTATTCCTATTGCCCTCAGCCTCCCACAAGCCCTCCCCCTGCTGTCTGCCTCATCTGGGAAGGAGCTCCCCATTCCCCAGCAGTCTGGCCATTGCCTCGCCTACCTGACCCGGGCGTATGTCTCCTCTTCATCTGCAGCAATCCAGGCGATATCAGCCAGAGTAGGGACTGGGGGCACATCCCTCAGACACAGATCAGAGACATTGGGCAGGGTCTATAGGGAAGCAAAATTCACCACAAAACACATCATGATGAGACAATCAATCTGGGCAAAATACATAGGAGGGCACCTAGTTCAGCACTGGGGTGTCAGAAAGGCTTCTTGGACCCCATCCATGCCTACTGTTTTCTCTTTCAGAGGGTTCCAGGTTGGAAACAGCTTGAATAAGCAGCCAGAGCGAGTTTGTGGGATTACAAATAGTTTTGCATGGCTAAAACAGAGGATGGGGGTGAGGAGGTTGTAAGAGGTTGGACAAATTAGGAACTTTGATTCTAAGATCAGTAATAAGCCACTGGAAGTTTTAAGTAAGGATTCGATTTTAGGCTTTAAAAGATGACTCTGCTGCTGTGTGGAACACGGATGGGAGGGTGAACAGACCAGTTATGAGGCTGTTGTATCCAAGCAAAACAGGTGGCCTAGAGGAGGGATGGGCTCTGTTTTAATAAAGTTTTACTTGAAAAACAGTCTCACCAATTTCTGTGTGTGTGTGTGTGTGTGTGTGTTTAAGAATATGTTTTTGATTTTAGAGAGGAAAGGAGAGAAGCATTGATGAGAAACACTGATTGGCTGCCTCCTGCATGCCTCCTACTGGGAATTGAGCCTACAACTGGGCATGTGCCCTGACCTGGGATCCAACCATCGATCTCTTGGTGCTTGGGATGACGCTCAACCAACTGAGCACACCAGTCAGGGCTCACTGATTTATGTGTTGTCTGTGATGGCTTTTAAGTTGGAACTGCAAAAGTGAGTAGTTGTAACACTGTTATAGCCCACAGCCTAAATGTTTATAATCTTGTCTTTTACAGAAAAGGGGGTCTTCAGTGGAACAGGCCAGTTAACCTTTTAACAGAAAGGGCTATTGCCTACCAGTGTCTTGCCCTCTGGTTGTGAGAATACAGGTGCAAGGATATCAATAATATCAGGATTATTGATATCAACAGGAAGTTTCCTCTGGCTAGCTCTTGACCACACCTTTGTAGCTAATTGGGATTTACACTGTTATAGCAACACTGTTTTATTTATTTTTTAAGATTTTAAAAAAATATTTTTTAAATTGATTTTAGAGAGGAAGAGAGAGATAGCAACATCAATGATGAGAGGGAATCATCTCCTTGGCTGTCTCCTGCACACCCCCCACTGGGGACCAAGCCTGCAACCCAGGCATGTGCCCTTGACCGGAATCGAACCTGGGACCCTTGAGTCCACAGGCCAACATCCACTGAGCCAAACAGGCTAGGGCGCGACATTGTTTTAAGCCAACTTGGTAATTTGAGCATTTAGATTTGAATAAAAAGACACAATTATATAAAAGGAATATAGTAGGATTCCTTAAAATAACCCTTAACCCAAATGAACGACAACCAGGGAACAGAGTCTGAGTGACACTTGTTAAAATTAAATGAAAAAATTAGTATTCAATCATGTTGAGTGTAAAAACAAAAAAACATACATCTAGAAAAAGAACTATACCAAAACAATAGTTATTGTCATGACTATGTTATTAGAAGTAATTTATTTTCCTTTCTCTTTTTTATTCTTAATCCTCACCCTAGGATATGTTTATTGATTTGAGAGAGAGAGAGAGAGAGAGAGAGAGAGATCTGTTGCCTCCTGTACGTGCCCCAATACAGGATTGAACCTGCAACCTTTTTGGTATACTAGTTGATACTCCAACCAACTGAGCCACCCCGTCTGGGCTCTTTTCTCTTTATTTTCCATAACTTAATGTTTTTATATGGGTAAATTTAAAAAAATAAAGATTTCCTTAAATAATATTTTAGAGTAATTTACAACAGAAATTCAGGGATAATTTCTCAAAAAGCCACCTATACATAAGTTAAATTCAGCTGTTCCTGCTACCAATTGTTTGGTAGGTGGATCAGGAATTGATGGCTCTCACTTTTAGATAGGGATCCTGGGTCTCACAGGAGTGATCTTCCACTGACTCAGGAGCTGCTGCTAAGGTGGGCCATTTAGGGAAGCTTTCCTTGATTAGAGCAGCGCTCTACTACTAGCAATTAAATGAGAACATAAAGTAGTGGGCACAATGCCTTAGCATACAGCATGTGTTCAGTAAAGGTTAGCTGGTATTACTGATACAAGCACACCTCGCTTTATTGAGCCTCACAGATATTGCATTTTTACAATTGAGGGCAAGACCATGAGTAAAAAAGATTACAACTTGCTTTATTGTGGTGATCTGGAAGCAAACCTGAAAATACCTCTGAGGTATGCTTGTACTAGTTAACATACTCCCCCTACCTTGTGGGAACCTGTGCCCTTGATTAGCTCTGCCAGGCAGCATTTGGCCAAAGGACTGGGGAGATTATAACCAAGTGTCGGAGCATCCTCCACCAAGTCCCCCATACTCCCTAGCTGTGCTCCCCTTGTTTCTGATACTTGAGGCAGGGCCACATCCCGCTCGTGCCCTTTAGGCAATTCTGGATAATCTTGGCCGTGGGATGGTCCCCCTCCATCCCGTAACACACTCCTAACCCCATTCCTGACTCTAATACCAACCCTGACACTACTTCTGACGCCAGATCCAGCTCCTACACAGACTTCACAGGTCAACATCTAATATACAAATTCATCTCCTTCATTTCGGTAACCACTGGGCCCATGTATCCCATATGTCTTTTCAGGCATATATTTCTGCCTCTTCTGTGTAGGCAGAAAGTTGAAGTTATTCTTTTGTGGCCCAGCTCCCCAGATACACCTTAAGCAAGTAGTCTGAAGCTGGTGCTTAACCATTAGTTCTTAGAGGGAGGCAGCTGGGACTAACAAATGCTACTTGGTTTTCCATTGCAGAAGGGGGTTTCAGCAACACTGGCCACCCAAGAATCTCTACTGCAGAGTGGGTGCTAAAGGAAGGCCCATAGACCCAGAGGTAAGACTGAAGTAGCCTAGTAAAGGAGAGGCCAGATTTGCCCAGAAAGAAGAGGCTGGGCCTCAGTGAAACTAGAAATAGATGGCTAAGTGGCCAAGTCTCAGGGCTAGTAAAGAAAAGCAGAGTTCAACGCAGTCACAACACAGTACTCAGTGTCCCACGTGGGGATCTGCCAGGGTTGTAGGCAAACACCTCAGAGCACAGACCTGGCTAGTGTGGCGATGTGGTTCAGCCAGGGCCTTTGGCCTGTTCTGAGAAACGACTGCTAGAGTCTGATGAAATCTGAGCCACTTAACAGAGTGATCAAACATATAAGATTATGAATTTATGAGCAAATTGGGAACCTGACTGTTGTGGTCAAAAGGTTGTGTGCAATCAGGAAGGCACAGTGACCATGATCCATTAATAAACACTTACAAAATGAAAACAACAACAACAACAAAACCAGGAGACTGGGGCACAGAGCAGCACCATCCTTCCATACTCTCTAAGCCTCTAGTCTCCTGGCCCTTCCAGTGCACTCACCTCAAAGGACGCCCGGGGACATGGCTTCAGGGGCAGGTTGGTCCCAATTCTTCTCACGACACTGCGAGCAGCCCCATGCGGTTTATTTTGCCAGATCGGGATGGTCTAGAGCAGAGAGGGACAGTCACAACCTCAGAGATGAGTTCAAGCATCGTCCCCGTCCTCTCCCCCACTCCCCTTTACCAGGAAGCCTGGACTCCTCAATCCCAGGGAGAGGGCACCCTGTGGGCAGAAGTCAAGTCTCAATTGTAAGTGAGGGCAGGATTCCCCGTCGTTAGCCTTCACCTTGGCAAGCCACCTAAGGGATACCTGCTGCTGCCAAGGCACAGTCCCTGTTGGGAGGGTCCAGTAAAGGCCTGAGGAATTAGCTGGGTGTAGGATCATCCAGGCTTCCCTCCTTTCCTCTGTACAGAAAGGCAAAGAGATACATGGACCCTTTAACTGCCCCCAGGTCACAGTTGGTTCTGCCAACTGGGGGAGTGGGTGGGAGGGTGGCCTCCTTCCAGCTCCAGGCCTCCAGGGGAAAGGAATCACCTGGGGAGTCTCCACCTCCCAACAGGCCCTGTGCTCCGCCTTCCCCACACACCACAGCCCCAGGATGCCCCTTACCGCATTGGCTTCCATTCCCGACATTTCAACCGGCTCCTGCACTTGAAGGACAAGGCAGCTTGGGGAGGCGTGATTCCTTCATATCAGGCCATCTTGCGGAACACCAGAGTTCCCTTCCTGTGAAACAACCCTCAGTGGGGACTTGATGGCCCCCACACAAGCCCCACAGAACCTGCAGAGCAATTACTAACACCAAGGCTTCTCTTCCATTTCATGGGGGAGAAAACCAGCTCAAGAGACTGCCCTCGCCCACTAATGGCTCTTCCAAATCCAGACCCTTCAAGGGTCTGTTTCAGACTTGTTGCATGAGCTTGAACAACCCTGGAAGCCCTCCTGGGCCCTTGGTTTCCTGAGGCAAAACTTCTAAAGATGAAATAGAACCCTTTGGTAGTTAAAAAGCTCACGGGAAAGGCAAACTGTAGGTACCACCCAAGCCCCACACTCCTTGTTGAAGATGAGATGCAAAAGCCCAGCATGTGTCACCACCCTAGCACTGTGGGGCCCCGCAGGGAGAGAGGTAAAATAGACAACAGAATGAACAGCATGCTCTAGCCCCGTGGTCGGCAAACCGCGGCTCTCGAGCCACATGCGGCTCGTTGGCCCCTTGAGTGTGGCTCTTCCACAAAATACCGTCTCTTCCACAAAATACCGACTTCTGCGCATGGGCCACGAAGTTTCAATCGCACTGTACGTGTGGGCCCGCACGTGGATTTTTGTGGAAGAGCCACACGAACGTGGTATTTTGAGGAAGAGCCACACTCAAGGGGCCAAAGAGCCGCATGTGGCTCTTGAGCCGCGGTTTGTGGACCACGGCTCTAGCCTATCAGTCTACTAGGCTACAGGGAAAAGAGCCAAATTCTTTATCCTGGCTCCGCCGTCATAGGCAAGTCATTTAACCTTTCCAAATGTTGGTTTTTCCACCTGTAAAAAGGGGACAAGAACAGGTGCCACTCTAGGCTACTTAAGGGTGCATCAGTGAACGAGGGAATCTTAAAGGGCTTAAATGAACCGTTAAGATGTGACAGATGGGTAGGGTAGGGTCACTCCTGCCTGGATTCTTCACAGCTGCCCTTGTGTGGTGAGCAGAGGCAATCAGTGAGCTCTCATTCCCTGGTTCATCAAACACTAACAATGTCCACCTTGTGTTGGACACTGGAGGGGCTATGGAGGAGTAAGCCACTCTCTCAAGGAACTCACAATCTAGGAGAGAGACAGCACGTGAATACAGTTCTGGCCATGGCTGATGATCAGTCGCTGCGTGAGAAAGGCACAGAGGCAGGTGGCCAGTGAACTTAGTCCTGACCTCAAGGTCCCCTGTGAGCTTGGAGGGGGAAGAAGGTAAGAAAACAGCAACAGTAGCACAGGCCCAGGACAGGAAGGTGAGGTACCCGAGAGGAGCGCAGTATGATCGGGGTAAAGATGCACGGGTCACTCATGAGGGCCAGGAACGGCCAGGTGAGAGTAACTGGGGGCCAGGGGGAGGCTCTGAACGGGAGGGACTGGACCCTAACCAGCTCTTCTGGAAACCTCCCTCGTGGAGTCTCTCTTTCTCCCAGAAAGGAGTTATCCGTCACTTTTTGGAGAAAGAAAGCTGGAAAGAAGGAATTATCATTCACGCAGGGAAAGGACGCCAGAGACGAAGGAGCTTGTCTAAGGCCCCTCTGCCAGTAGCAGCACCTCAGGTCTGGTCCCAGCCCTGCGGCCCTGCAGGGGCTCACCTTCCAGGCGCAGCTGAGCCTTTTGTCAAAGTCCCGCCGTGTGCCAGGCTGTGCCCATCAGTGCTGACAGGGCACACGCCTGCTTCCCTGCTCCTCTCCGAACCTACCCTCCAGAGACTCAGGGGGCCTAAGTCTGCACAACAGCCAGAGACGCTCCTGGAACACAGTGCTAGTCATACTGGTCCTTCACCTAAAACCCTACAGACTTCGACTCCTGCAGGCCTCCCAGCCCAGCAGACCAACACCACAGCTCCGAGGCCTCCCATCCGGCCCGCCTGGTGCTCCCCCTCCGGCCACCCTGCCTCCTTTCGGCCCTGACGCCACCTGAGCCGTGTCCACGCCATTCCCTTCCCAAAGCTCTTCTCCATGATTCTTCCGAGCTCAGCTCCAGCATCACTCCCCCTTTACTGCCCCCCCGCCCCGCACCCTGTTTCCTCCGTAATGAACTGTGACGGGCCACTTGTCCCGCGGGCAGGCCGTCCCCAGGCACCGCGCACACGTAAGCGTTAGTCCGATGAAGAAATGAATGAACGAGAGCACCGACGTGGCCTTCACACCCTCCCCCCACCGTCACCGGGTCGCCGGCTACAGGAATCCTGCCCCCGTCCACCGGCACCGCGGGCTGGTTCTTACCGCCTCTGCGCCCCCGCAGCCCCTCTCGAGGCCGGGGTCGT